TGTTTAAAGTAAAAGCCATGGGCTGAAGTATCTGTGGAACGGATAAGCTGCAAAACTCTTAAAGAATTATTTTCAAAACTCTTGTACTGAAGCTTTTTGTATTTCTCTGGCTAAGTAAGCTATATTCATTGTGTATCAATGGAAATTGAACACATACTGAGAAAGGAACTTTCTTAAGGAAGGGATTTCAGACAGCATAGCCAATGGGGGAAGGTAGTGTTTTGGCAACGACACTATTGGTTACCTTAGGAATAAAGGGCCACTTCGTCCATTTTAAGGTTCAGTACCAAGTACCTGTTGGAGTCAAGGGAGCCATAGGAATATGGAAACTTGTGAGTCATCTAGTAAATGAGATGAGGAATCAGAGTTGGCAGTTAAGAAATTGGGACAAAGCCAAAAAGTGTTAAGTCTTGAGCAGATAAAATAACTATTTAAGAATGGAGCAGTAAATCTGTTCCTTGTGTTAAAAACTGTTTTAAAATCATCCACCTTGTTGTCTCTTGATTATAGTTATTACTATGTTATTTTTTTTCTTTCTATTCAATCTTGTATCTATCAATCTCCAATGACTATTGTCGTGCCTTCTCTCATCAAGAAGGATCACATATATAACGACGCGAGGAGTTGTTTGCCATCAGATTAAACTTACTGTTCTTGAGGAACGTTGTCAAGACAGTAGGGAACGTTTGACCAGACAGTTCAATCACTAACTTTTCTTCTCATTTTCATTCTTTATAAAATAGTTTAAGGCATTATTTAGAGTTCTATCCTCATGGGAACGATAATCTGAGCATTAATACACCCATTATTACTTGATGCGTGCACTTGCGCACTTGGGTTGGAAGTAAGGGAACAAATCTATTTTCTCTTGCTAATTTAGAATAGAGGAACGTCCTCCATCAGCATATATATTTTTCCACCAACAGCAAACCACCCAACAGCGACCCCTACCCTGGCTGGATGAACCCCTCCCTCGGCAGGGCCCCAACTCCCTGTTAGACAACCCGGTCCTCCTCCGAGATCTACCACCCCGGCAACCTTGAAGCATGGCTTCACGTTCTTCCTCTTCGGTCCTAGGAATCCCCCAAAGCCATAAACGGGCACCAGGGGGAATCTTTTTAAAAAATTCAGAATCTTCTTTCTTCTCCCCCTTACAAAAAAAAGCTAAGGCAGGAGGGTTTTTCCCCCTCATTTGGTTAAAAAACTAAATAACGGTTAGATGTGGAATAGCACAGGGGGGGACGAGGAAGACAAAGTGATAAACACCAAAATAGCAGAAAGGAATCCACAACCTCTGGAAAAGTGCAAACTATGGGTGTAATGAGAAAATAAAAGAAAATCAACGAAATGGCATATACAGGGCAAATAGTTCAAAATTGAAAAAGCATGCTCGCCGACAGATGACCAGATGCAGGCATCTTAAAACAGAAGCAACAAAAGACAGAAGATGAGTGAAATACCTGATGAAAAAAGATGAAGTAGCAAGAAGATGGAGAAATGCATTTGAGACGCTGACACTCTAAGAAACGCAGTAGCTGCACAATGCTTAGAAGGTAAAGAAAGCACGTAATATGAGATGGAGGCTTAAATAGGCATGAATAGTACCACTGGGGTTACGAATGGGAAAAGTCAGGGCTACAAGGGTCATTACCTTGTAAGTGGTAAGTGGTAACCGCAGCAATCATGAAAAATAACTGCAGTAGTCGTGGCTAGTAACCATAGTAACCGTAGGTGGTTACCACAACACTCACGAATGGCAAAGGTCAGGGTCAGTAGTGCCATTTCACTTCAAAAAAGCAATGATTAGACAAATGAAACGATGCTGCCAATAAATGCGCACGAAATGCAAAAACGGCATAGAAAGGCTGCGGCACGCTAAAGCACGCAGGCTATAGCACGTGGCAGAATGAAATGAGTAACACTCATAAATCAACAAAAAAGACAATATATACATATACAACGATCAACCGGGTTGAACGACTGATGCTTGGGGGCAACTTGTCAGTTGGATCCCAACAACTCAAGCACATCCGTTACCCGGTTGCCCATGTAAAAGTATCTTGTCGGGTTCATGCAAGAACCCGTTGACCAAGTAATCAAAAGAAAAAAATAATACTCCAGTTAAGGTAAGATGCTTGAGGGCAATCCGTCAGTTGAATCCCAACAACTTAAGCACATCCTCAACTCGGAATAGGAATACAGAAAAGGTTGATGCTCAACCTGCCAATACAAGGAATGCGGAAAAATTATCCGAGAAAAAGCCACAAACTGGGAATAAGCACAAGGGCTGACGTTTGAGCAGCAACTCGCCAGTTGGACCCCAGCTGCTCAAGCCCACCCCTAATCCAGGAAGATGGGGTACGAGAAATATCTCACTGGGTTGATGCTTAACCCATCGATATAAGTTTGCAAAAACGCACACACACTCAGCCTAACAAAAAGCCTGAAGAGATGCACAAATAAATTCACCCCGATAACCCGGATACCCAGGTAGCCTGGTTGAGGGGCAACTGTTAAGGACCCATATTAGGGGCCCATTAAGTGATAGGCCCAATAAGGGGCAATCCAAGATCTGAATCAGTAATAATCATGGATAGATATCCATCAAGGATACTAATCCTAACACGACAGCATAGCAAGCAGGCTTGGGCCCTTATTAGAGGCACCAAAGGCCCATCCACACTACCCACAGGTAATCTCTATAAATACAAGGTAAACCCTAAAGGTACGTTATGCTCTCTCTCTCTTACTGTTATGTTGTCACTGTCAAGGAAGCACAGACACTTGTAAAAACAGGAAGAGCCGTGTCCGACACGCTCCGACACGGTGTCGGACACGCGGTTGACTTTTTCCGACACGTTGACCATTCCGACACGCGAATTTGACCGTGTCCGACACGATCAAATGGCATTTTTGTAAATTTTTTTTAATTTTTTTTTCAAAAAAAAATCAAAATATATTAATAAAGCTTCCACCTGATCATATCAATTTTATTTTTTTTGTCTTTTTTCCCTACAAGTAGATAAGATATCATCTAGCATCATTGTTGTCAATTCCTATTATGCTCTTGTTGTATCTCCTTCTCTCTGATCTCTCTCTCTAATATGATTTGATCTCTCTATCTGATATTATATATATCTCTCATCCCAGTTCTTTTTTTTTATTAAAACTTCCATCTTTATAATGTGTTGATGGGTATTATTAATTTAGTTTCAATTTTTTTAAATTATTAAATATTAAATGAAATATACACTATATAAATTAAAAATATTATTTAATATTAAAACGTGTCCCAACGTGTCGAAATTCATAATTTTTTAGGATTGACGTGTCGGAGTGTCGTGTCGTGTCGTGTCATGTGTCGCGTGTCGTATCGGTGCTACATAGGTCACTGTGCGCACGCACACACCCCATTGGCTAACGCCGTTATAGTATTCTGAACACAGTGATCTGCTTGACTCAAGGGTATCTCCTTCATAGATACCTTGGAGAGGGCACTAGATCCAAGAGAAACATACCAGCCTATTGGGCTGGACATCTCTGTCCCAATGACAGAACAATATATATATATATAGATTTATTGTTTGTCATGACCTAACATTCTGTCTTGTCACTTAAAAACTATGTCGTTTTGGGTGAGAGATGACAAAAAAGATTTGTGTTTCACGTTCAAAGTCTCCATTTTTTTATTAATTTGAGTTTAAATGTTCTTATAGTATTATTGTTATAAATTCAAATTTTTTTGAGAGAGACAAAATGTAACATCCCGTGAATTTAAGAAGTTATATAAAATTGAGTTGGAAACGTGGAAGCTGTCTCAAACTCGGACTATATGTGTAGTTAGGGAGGACTTAAATTAAATCATGAAAGAATTATGTTAATCATAATATTGTGTGAGGAGGTATTTTAGGAAATCGAAATGTTAGTTATAAGTATGTGATTAATTTTATCTCATTGAATAAAACCATTAATTAATAATTAGATGATACATAAACTAACACGACATGAGTTGGTTCTCAAGATATGAGAGCCTTTGAACTTAAATTTTAGAACCCATTTCCCCCATGGCCGGCGGCCCATGAGTCCAAAGTGGGACTTAGGTTCAGCTTTCATCAATTAGAGATCCTTCCACCTTATCTTAGAAAAATTATGAGGCTGTCCACTATTGGTTAGGAGCCCCACATGGCAAACCCATTTCCATTGTAATCCTTTGTCATGCGCATAGGTGAGTGGAAAATTCTGATTGCTTGCTTTACTATCTAAACTCATTCAGCTTTTGGGTTACCCATGCAACTAATGGGTGGAAAGTAATCCTCTTGCATGTTTTTATATTGGTCAAAAGTAACTAGCCTCACCTTATCCCTTTCATGTGCGCCTATCAAGGGAAGAAGCCATCTATCTTGACTGGCCATTGTGACTAGAATCTAACCCCACCCTTATCCTACTCTCAAGACCGTAAAACCATGGAGAAAGAACTCAAAGGAAAATTTCAGCTCATCCTCATTTACTCCACACAAGAAACCGTGAGCCTCATTGATAGGTAACAAAAGCTTCTAGCACATTCCTCTTCTCTCCCCTCTTCACGTCGCAAGCACCTTAAAGGAATGCAAGAGAATCTAAGCTTGCATGTCTTCGCCCCATTTTCCCTCAAGGTCGTGAGTTTCTAAGAAGGTAGACCGAACAGTAAAGTGTGCCCTTCTATTTCCCTTCTTGTTCAGCCGAGCCTCACCAAGTAAAGGGGTTAATGTGTTCCTCTCTTTTCTTGTTCCTCCTCACACCATTCAATTTTGATGGAGCTTTCTCTTGCACACAGATTTCAAGCTCAAGCCCTTGCGCTTGAAGGGTGAGAAAGATTACTTAATCATTGGCTGTTGTCCCCTTCAGCGGTTAGTGAGACATTGGAATACTTGCTTGGGACTGTAAATCGAGAATCACCACTCCATTCCACCTCATTGTTCGGTTTTCCCTTAAGGTATGCTAGAAGGATATATTTTGTCATCTTATTTACTTCCATTATGTCCAGTTGGTGAATCACATAATCCTCTTAGTGCATGCAAGCACAAATCAGTTTGGAGCTTGGGAATATAGCTCTTTATGGGTTTGGGATTGTTTCTGTGAGTTATGGTAGTTGTCAATGTAATTCACAGGTCCTATAATGGTGTTTCTCACAAACACTCAAACGCACAAACAAGTCTTTGAAATATACCTCTTTGAATTACTGATTCTACCAAGCCACTTTTACAAGAGTTACAACGAGCTATTTAAACAATAGCAAATGATTATGAATACTAATGACCATCTTAGGAAATCTAAACATAATAATGACTACTTTTTAGAAACTTTAAACTCATTAATGTCCACTAACAAATTCCTAAAGGACACACCCCTTCACCATAAACTCTTCATTCTCTATTTTCTTTAATTAAATAAAGTTTAAACCCAACAAAATCCCCCTTAAACTTTAATGTCTCTACCGTCCTTCATTCCCATCTTCTTCTTGCAATTCTCAAACAACAATGTCGGCAGGGGTTTTGTGAAAATATCTCCAACTTGATCTCGGCTTGCAACATGAGTGAGCTCCACCTTTCCTTCTCTGACTTGATCTCGGATGAAATGAAACCTGACATCAATATGCTTACTTCTCTCATGGTTAACTGGGTTCTTTGCTAACTCGATCGCTGATCTGTTGTCAACTCGAATCTCGGTTGGGCCGACTTGCTCTTGCTCCAGCTTGCTTAGTAAATTACTCAGCCATATTGCATGGCAAACACACCAAGATGCCGCAACATACTCGGCTTCACATGTAGACAGGGTCACAATAGGTTCCTTCTTCGATACCCAAGTAAACGCCGTGTTTCCCATGAAGAACACATAGCCAGCCGTGCTCTTCCTATCATCAACATCTCCGCACCAATCATTATCTGAATAACCCGTTAGTTTGTATTTGTCCGCCTTCCAGTAATGAAGTCCTTGTGAGATTGTTCCCTTCACATATCTCAGAATTCTCTTAGCCGCCTTCCAGTGAGTGTACCCCGGGTCTTCCATAAGCTGACTTATGATCCAACACTCAGACACAGATTCAGCCTTGTACACGTCAAGTACCTCAGACTTCCAACTAGACTCCGATAAATACTCGGATCTACCTTTTCTCCTCCATCATATCTTGAAAATTTAACGCCGGGTTCCATGGGGGTTGAAACCGGGTTTCAATCACTCATTTTAAACTTCTCTAAACTTCCTTTTGCATAGGCTTCTTGAGAGGCGAAGATCCCGGATGCATCTTGTCTAACCTCTAAACCAAGAAAGTATCTCATCAGACCGAGATCCGTCATCTCGAACTCCTTCGTCATTTTCTTCTTAAAATCTTGAATCATTCCTTCATCATTACCCAAGAAAATCAGATCATCAACATATAGAGCAACAAGTAGAATTTTACCTCCTTTCTTCTTTACATAGAGAGCATGTTCATACGGACACTGCTCAAATCCATCATTCTTAAAATAATTATCAATCCTCGTGTTCTAGGCTCTTGGGGCCTGCTTCAAACTATATAAGGCTTTCTTTAATCTCAACACTTTTCTTTGTTGTCCGGCTTTCATGAATCCCAGAGGTTGTTCCAGATACACCTCCTCTTCGAGTACTCCATTTAAGAATGCCGACTTCACGTCCATCTGATAGATCAGCCATCGGAATTGGGCTGCTTGAGAGATCAATAGCCTGATTGTCTCCATTCTTGCTACGGGTGCGAACACCTCGTTATAATCAATGCAGGCCTTCTGCCTATACCTTTTCGCCACTAGCCGGGCTTTGTATCTTTCGATCTCCCCCTTAGCGTTCATTTTCTTCTTGTACACCCATTTCACACCAATGGGCCGACTTCCTTTGGGCAGCTCGGCTAACTCCCACGTCTTGTTCTTTTCTATTGCATTAATCTCATCCTCCATGGCTGATTTCCATTTCTCATCTCGGATTGCTTCTTCAAAACTCACTTCTTCAGAATCTGTCAACAAACATACCAAGTGTGCTTCGTTAGTTGAGTCATACAAGTCTTGCAAGCTCCTCATTCTCGGTTGTCTCTGCTCTTCATCATCAGATATTTCATGATTAGCTGGGATATGGGACGGAGGTTGTCCGACCTCAATTGTCATTTTCCCGGGTTCAACATTCACCCCGGATGGACAACCCCAGTCCCAAGCATCTTCTTCATTCACCTTCACATCTCGGCTTATCAACACCTTTTTATTTACTGGATCCAACAACTTGTACCCCTTTGTCTTCTCATCATAACCAATGAATACAAACTTCTTCCTCTTATCTTCAAGTTTCGTTCTCAACTGATCTGGTATGTGTGCATATGCAACACTACCAAAAATCTTGAAATGAGCCACTGATGGCTTTAGACCGCTCCATGCTTCTTGTGGAGTTTTATCATTCACACTTGAGTGTGGACATCGGTTCTGCACGTACACTGCACATTGTACGGCCTCTCCCCAGAACTTTTTCGGCATGTTCTTCGTTTTCAACATAGATCGGACCATATCCAGGATAGTCCGGTTCTTCCTTTCAGCTACTCCATTTTGCTGGGGCGAGTACGGTGCGGTCAGGAACCGCCTTATCCCATGTTCTTCACAATAATTCTTGAAAGCTGTTGATACATACTCCCCACCTCGGTCTGAACGGACCGATTTGATGTACCTCCCAGTACCATTTTCTATCATTACTTTAAAACTCCTAAATGCCTCTAGCACCTCGGATTTTTCCTTCAAAAAATACACTTAAGTCTTTCGACTAAAATCATCAATAAAAGTTACAAAATACTTCTTACCACTGAAGGACCCCGAAGTAATGGGTCCACACAGGTCAGTATGGATCAACTCCAGAGGCTGCCTAGCTCGGTATCTCGCCATTCTTTGGAACGGGCTCCTCGCATGTATTCCTAATACGCATTCCTCACAAAATTTTCCTTCAGAGTTAATCTTTGGTAGTCCCACTACCATGTTTTTCTTCATCATCTCGGTCAGACCACCGTAATGAAGGTGTCCAAACCGTCGATGCCACAAATCCATCTTATCTTCTACCCCGGCTTGCAGACAGCCGACCTCCATGCTCCTCAAACTCAACTTGTACATTTTTTTTTCTCCATCTGAACTCGGACTATCAGACGCCCTTGTTTGTCTTTCAATAGTAGAACTCGGTCTGTCATTAGAACCGAGTAGCCCTTTTCCATCAACTGTCCAATGCTCAGAATATTGCTTTTGAGCTCAGGCACGTAATACACGTCCCGAATTGTATTAACTTGTCCATCCTTTGGCAAGAAACAGATCGTACCTCAGCCTTTTACATTAATTTTGGACGCGTCTCCAAAAGAAACATGTCTGACTTCCACCATTTTCAACTCCTTGAACAGATGTTTGTAACCACACATGTGATTACTGGCACCAGTATCCAAGTACCACTCTGTCTCACTCTTCGAACTTGTTTCACCATGTGCCAACATCAAAACTCCTTCATCTCTTATCTCTCCTTCTGCAGCAAAGTTTGACGTCCCGTCAACTCTCCTTTCATCTCGGCAATCCTTCGCGAAATGCCCAACTCGGCCACAGTTGTAGCACCTGTCCGAGTTGCAATCTCTTGCGTAGTGACCAGACTTCCCACACTTATGACATTCTACATTATTTTGATTCGACCACCGACCTCTTCCACCTCGGCCACGTCCTCTACCTCTCCAGTTTTGCTGACTTGGCTCAACTCTTTCTTCATTTTTCACCTCATGACCTCGGCCACGACCACCTCGGCCATTTCCACGTCTAGCTCGGCCATGACCTGTACCTCGGACGTTCTGAGAATACAACGCCTTCTCTTCCTTGATATTTGCTTTTGACTGGAGTGCTTGCTCCAGTGTCTCTTCCTTCTTCTTTTTCTTGTGTTGTTCATGCGCCTCAAGAGAACCCGCTAGCTCTTCAACAGAGAGCGTAGCCAAGTCCTTAGACTCCTCAATTGCACATACCACGTTTTCGAAGTCGTCTGTCAGCGACCTCAGAATCTTTTCAACAACTCTAGTCTCAGATAATTCCTCACCATTCTGCTTTAACTGATTCACCACGGCTTGAACTCGGATACACCCTCTGAATCTTTCATCTTCATTCCTTCCAACTCGCCACATAGAGTCTGAAGTCGGACCTGCTTAACTCAGTCAGCTCTTTTATAGACATTCTCCAAGATGTCCCACGTTTCCTTTGACGTTGTTGCACTTGCAATCTTCTCAAATCCGGACTCATCTACAGCTCGGAATAACATGTATAAGGTCGCCTTGTCCTTCACACGCGTCTCTTTCAACGCCTTGGTTTGAGCTGCTGAGTATCCTGCGATAGTTGCAGGTTCAGCAAAATCGTCATGAATAACATCCCAAGTATCTTGGGATCCGAGCAACGCCTTCATCTGAATGCTCCAATTCACATAATTCGCCTTTGTCAGTCGGGGAAATGGCATACTGGAAGTGGTCACACTCTCCATAGCTCTGATACCAATTTGTAATTCACAGGTCCTATAATGGTGTTTCTCACAAACACTCAAACGCACAAACAAGTCTTTGAAATATACCTCTTTGAATTACTGATTCTACCAAGCCACTTTTACAAGAGTTACAACGAGCTATTTAAACAATAGCAAATGATTATGAATACTAATGACCATCTTAGGAAATCTAAACATAATAATGACTACTTCTTAGAAACTTTAAACTCATTAATGTCCACTAACAAATTCCTAAGGAACACACCCCTTCACCATAAACTCTTCATTTTCTATTTTCTTTAATTAAATAAAGTTTAAACCCAACAGTCAAGACTTGTACATGTTAAGAAAGTTCTGGCCAGCATGTTTAAAACCAAGCTAGCGCACCCCTTTGTAGTGAGAGCTATGTGTTTAAATGGAAAATCTTAAGTCCCTAGTTGATGACTCAAAATCGTATCTGCATGTTTTAGAAACCTTGATTTCTATCGTTTGCTAACATTGGTAAAAATTTATATCAAGTCAGAAAATTATGTAGGCAGAGAACCATGAACCCGTTTTGAATTAAACCTTGCTTGTGTTAAACCTGTATGTACAGCTTGCTTATGACTTAGTTCACTCAACAGTAAGCCTTATAGTTATGTCACTTGTTAACAACTGATAAGGTTACAAAAATTAAATCAGAAATTAAATTTAGTAATGAAAGCATGTAAAGTACACATATCCTATTGGAAAAATAAGCGAAAATTGTGATTTTTGGTACCTATTGTCTAGGTGTGCTAGTCTCTAAAAGTGTGAGCTGAATGGATGATGTTTGATTAAAAAGCTAAAATGTCGAGGTAAGTGTTAGGTGGTATTACCTATTGTGACTATTAGCTAGCGTATGGAATTTTGAACTGTTGCTCACATGTGCCTTGGATTCGCATTTTGTTAAATATAATTTGCAATCTGCCTTGGACTTGACATGATGGAAATTCTATTTTGGAAGTATTTGTTATTCGGCATCTCGGTATTAAAAATACATGAAATATATGCTATTATGATTATGATCTAGTCATGCATATGCACATCATAAAACTGCATTTCTCATGTGTGTGTAAAGCCAATCATGTCATAGCATACAACATTATGCATTCATTCTGGAAACCAAAGTATATAATAAAAGTAAGCATACGTTTGAGCACGCATCATATAAGCATCCCTTCGGTACCAGGGTATGGGACACTTGGCTTCAGTTTGCATAGGTCGCAGTTGGAATCCTCTTGAGGAGCCACTATGGAATCTCCACTGTGCTTGTTAGTAGTATGTGCACTGCAGTGCTATGAACGTACATTAGTTTGGCATTATATACGCATCTTGATTAGTACTTTGGCGTTATATACGCATCTTGACTAGTATTTTGGCGTTATATACGCACTATGGTTATATGATAGCATATGTTCTGAATTAAAAGTTGATGCGATTGTTTTAGAATTTTGTACCTAGTCTGATATTGTTGCAATACTGGTTTTGCTATCACACTACTTGGATTTTTC